GAGTCTGGGTTTCGTGCCGGCCAGCCACAGAGCCTGGGCTGGGGGGCAGGGACTTTGGGTGGGGGGCAAGGGGCAATAGGGCTGGAGGGCAGGGGCTTTGGGTGGGGGGCAAGGGGCAGTAGGCTGGGGGGCAGGAACTTTGGGTGGGGGGCAAGGGGCACAAGCGAGGCATCCTGCCATGTACCCCTTGCCCTCATTTTGTTTTTCTGCCATGCCGGCACTCCGGCACCTTCCGAGGTAGGCATTGTGGTGTTTTTCGGCACTCTGGCAAAAAACGTTGCCTACCCCTGACCTAGGTTATAAGAAGAGCAAACTTCAGGATGAAAGGAAAAGCCACACTTGGGAAGAAAGCTTATCACCTTAATGTTGATAATTTGGTTTACAAAACCCAGCCTCGGTTAAGGAGTAAGTTTGGTCTCTATAGTGTGTAGACCCAGGGGTGGAGTGGGTGGGGCAGGAGGGTGAAAGTGTCTGCTCTCTGTAATATGCTGCAAATCTTCATGGGAAAGTTTTCATCAGATAATGCCGTTCCCTCTTACTCGAATAGAATCCCTTTGTTTTTCACCTGGGTGGGTCTCCTGGATCCCTGTCACTTCAGTTTTTCCAGGATTTTTGTTTAGTGCTTTAATTTCTCCATCAAAATATGATCAAAAGCTGGAAAAATAAGTGGCTACAGCAGTAGGAACAGGGAGCAGCAACATATAACAGTTTTCCTAGAGGTAGGTAGATGAGTATAGGGGAGGGGAAGGAGCATGTCCTGTGGTATAAGTGAGCACCATGGCAACCCCAAGGAAACAGTGTCTCACAGCAATTGCCCCCTACATATTCAAACTCCAGGGATACATGCCATGAAATCTCTGTTCTCAGCAATAGTGCATCTCTATTTCACTCCCCTCCTCTCAGAGAAAATGTTTTCTTGGGTCAGATTCTTCTTTTAGATTCATAAGCCTGGTCCATATTAATGTCAGTAGGACTTGTACAAACCTGAAACTAGTATCTGCCCCAAGTTAGTCCCATAAAAGTAAATATTAGTAAATGTGACTAATTGTATACAAAGTCCACGCATGTGAAAGATTTGACATTTCAGTTTAGAAGTCATAAGTGATTCTTTTATTGCCAAAGTGCAGTAGAGCAGTGGTTCTCAACCTCTTATGTACCAGGACCCATTGGTAAACATTGATGGCCAGTCCCAACCCAGTAAATAGTTTAGGTAGAAAACAGCCCCCTGGCCCTGCCAGTGTCCCTCACTCCCAACCTACTGCCCCAACCCCAGAGTGTGTGCGGGGGTGTGGGGCATGGGGTATGTATCCCCCGGATTTGTGCATCCACAGCAGACGTGGGACAGCAGCTTAACTGGACCAGCATGGGCAGGAGCCACTTCCATGACTTGTTTTCCTGTTTAAGAGCTTTGTTAGACTGAAGCCTGTACTTGCTGGGAAAAAAAAATCCAGGGATGACTGGATTGATAGCATTCTCTGAAAAAGAGTCAATCACCAGCAGAATTTGAGGGCTCTTCCCCTGCCTTCCTCCCATCCCACTGAGCTGAAAGCATAGAAATACAACTGGGTCCCTCACATGCCAGAGCAGTGCTTTACTGCTGTACAAGTTCACTGAGCAGCCTCCATTTTCTTTTCTCTTCCTCTGCTTTGTTCTTTCAGCTGTCTACAGTACTTTTAGTGGTGTTGATATTTCCACCTTAGATGAATAAGATTCCACCTGCCTACACTCAGTTAATACCAGAACTTGCTTTTCTGGAGATGGCATTTTCTGCATGAGGCAGGTGATACTGATTCTATAATTATTGTCTCAGTTTTTTTCTCATTGTTCCTTGCTTGCGCTTCTGCTTCTCATCACCCTCATGTTTGTCTTTTACTACCATTTGTGTCAGGTTTTGTCTTTCTCTCATTACCCTCACCCACTTTAGTTTCTCCTATAGCAGTTTTTGAGTCTGTAGGACTCTGTCACTGCAAATGCTTTTTATGAGTTCTTCAGTCTTTTACTACCACTTTAGTGAGTACCTCTCTTGGCAGAGCCTCCAATCTTGAGCTACAATAGATTTAAGAGAAACTCTCTAAAGGGGAGAAACAAATGTAAATTGTGTTGCATGTTCACAAGCCTGGAAAGCTAAAGTTCCTTTTTAGTCTGAAGCTGTGAATCATCTTCCCTCAAGAAAGGCAGCATCTGCAGTTGTAGGTAGGGTGAATTTTATAATGGGAGGGCCAAAATCCTAATCTGGATCTGTGCTCAGACACTGACACACCTCCTCCAAACTTTGACTTAGAATGGGCAAAGATAATAGATATGCTGACTGTAATATTTTATTGCCCCCTAGGGTGTCACCTCAGTGGCACAGGTGCTGGAGTAAAAAGCTTAAACTATAAAGAAAATGTATCTTTATTTTTACAGAGGAAGAAAAGGAAGGATTAGAGATAAGGTTGATTATTTGCTTTATTATTTACTGGATAAGGGCAGGAGAGACTTAAAGAAACAAAGGGCTCTACTGCATCTAACTCCTCCCCCAGTTAGGTAATTAATGCATTTGCTTAAAAATACTTATCCAGTAATGACCCAGTATCTATTTTAAACACAATACATCAGATTCCTCCCAGGTGTAACTCCAGTGACTCTGCCAGCGAGTTGTTCCAGGGATAAATTTGGTTTAGTAAGATACAGAGCATATTTGTTTTAATATTAATAGAAGACTATATTTAGGTTATGTGACTGTTTCATTTTGCTCTTAACTCCATCTAAAACTAATTCTAGGCAACTGTGCCTGCCATTTCCAGTCTCCCACCCCTACCAGACACACATCTCCAGGTATGCCATGTTCCCAAACTTTAAATCACCTGAGGATAAAGACGTGAGCATTGAAGCAAGCAGTCACCAGCCTTTTCATCCTAATATCCCTACAAAGCCTTATGATGTGATTATTTTCAGAAAGACCAAAGGTAAAGTAGCCTTCAGTTGGTTTTTCATTTATTAACATTTACTTTTTAAAATTCTCAGAGGATGGTGGTTTTGTCAAATTGTTCCTTGACGGAGCATTTGCATGGGAACAGCAGAGGCAGAGATAAGTAGTTTGCCCTAAGCTGGAGGATTGCATGCTGATGCTTGCAGTTTCCACTGGTCACCCCTTGGCACCAAGGATGCTGAACTCATCTCTCTTTTCTTCAAATAAATCGTGGCCTCGTGGTTACAAGCAAAGATGGCCCTCAATTCCCTGCCAAGGTGAAGCGGATAAATTAGTGAATATGATGTCCTCAAGTCATGCAAATAATTCTTTTTAGTAGCTGGCATTGGAGCAGCTAGAAGAAGCCATTTGAAGAGATCACAAATTTGCAAACCCCTTGTTTACTTCTGGTGAATTTGAGGGAGTTACTCAGAGACAAGTGATACATAATTTGGAACACTTTCCCACACCAGCAGCAGCATAATGTGCAAAACCACCCAGTCTCTTTGCTGTCTGAAAAGAAGCCCATGTCCTCTCCATTTGCAGATGACCACTCCAGGCTTAAACAGTTACTGAGATACTTGTTTACCACATCATGTTGAGATGTTTTTAATGTTATTCAGAGACATATTACATTACTGTTGGTTTTATATCAATTCCAGTATCATTATTCCTATGGAATGCCCCTTTGTCATTCCTATGGTCCTTCACACCAGTAAAGGAATAAAGGCCAGATTCTGATTCTGCTTTTTTCCAAAGTTATCTAATACATGATTTTGCCCTGGTATCTCACACATTTCTCGAGTCCAGTTTCTTGTTTGAAGTTTGCTGGTGTTTTGCAGTTCTCCTGTATATTTCATTATGGTGCTAATTAGCACTCTATTCTTGGCACCACAGGCAAGTTGGACATTGTGAGGTACTTGCTGTTCATTTTCAGAATATCAGGATTTTTGTTGCAGAAGGTGCATCTGCCGACATCTCTGTTCCCCTTGTCATTGCGAGCCAGGAACAGATTTGACAGTAACTGTTTAAAAGATCAGAAGCATATGCTGGAGTGATGAGAAGCTTTTCAGGACCATAAGGACTGATAAGTGGCATGCCAATTTGCATTAATCAGCCATCCTCCCTGTCACTGTGTTGAACAGTACTGTTAAGTGAGTTATGTGATCAGAGAGCCCTTTAGCCAGCCAAAATTAAAAACTTTCCACAAAGTGTGTGGCATGAGAAGTACTTCTTGTCTCCACCTGTTACTGCTACTCTTCATTCAAAATAATGAAATGTATGGGGGTAGATTTGCAAAGCCTACATTTGCTCCACAAGACCTCATTAGAGGCCATGGTCAATTCTTGGAAGAGCTTATCAGGTTCAGAAATTACTGCCTCAGGAGTTGCAAATGTCTGCTCTTAGAAAATTATTTGACTTCATTAATTGCTCCTTTTCTGTGATCAAACCTTGTCTGCAGGTAGGCCATCACAGCTTGTGATCATTTGGGGAGACGGAAACCTGTACTCATGAGAGTGCAGATAACCCTGGGTAACTTGGGTGGACGCGATCACAGTATGCTAGAATTCTAGATCCTGAGACAGGGAGAGCATGAGGTCAGCAAAATTAGGACGCTAGATTTCAAATGAAAAGAAAAGCATATAGGCAATGGAAGAATGGGCAGGTCACCAAGGACACGTACCAGAAAATAACATGTATCTGCAGGGACAAAAACAGGAAGGCAGAAATAAAGAATGAGCTGCACCTGGCAAAGGAGGTTAAGGACAACAAAAAGAGGTTCTATAAGTGTGTTGGCCAGAAAAGAAGAACCAAAGAAACTATGGATCCTCTGTTAACAAGCCAGAGAGCACTCCTAACTGAAGATACAAAGAAGGCAGAGCTATTCAACAGCTACTTTGCCTCAGTCTTCCACAAAAAAATTAAGCTGCCAGACACCTAATAGGGATTATCTAGATAAGGGGGCAAACTGAGGGCGAAAATAACAAAAAGAGACCGTCAGAGAACTTTTATTAATCTGATCTGAATTAATTCAAGTCAACAGAGCAGGATGAGTTTTATCCCAGGGTCCTAAAGAACTGACAGAGGAGATATTGGAGCCCTTGGCAATGATCTTCACAAAGTCATGGGAGATTGGCCCTTTTCCAGTCCTCTGTTACCTGGCCTATGTAGTGCCCTTCTTTAAAAAAGGCAAGTAGGAGTACCCAGGGAACTACAGACCAGTTAGTGTCACCTCGGTACCTGGGTACCTGGGAAGTTACTGGAGCAAATCCTAAGGAAGAACTTGCAAGTATCTGGAGAAGGAAAGGCTGATCACCAGGGATCCTTGTTTTTTCTGATTAAAAATTTGCAAATTCTCTGCTAAAAAAATCACAAATTCTCTGTTAAAAACCCCAAAATCCATTATTAAAATAAAAGGCCCCCCACAGCCCTGCTGGTGTCCCTCACTCCCCACAACGGGGCCATGTGGAGAAGCTGCCTGCCGCTGCATACTCTGTGCTGCCCTGGTGAAGCGCCTCTACATGTGGCTGCAGTGAGGGCACTGATGCAGGACTGCACCAATCAAAACTGCCCCGCACACAGTGAACACGTCGCCAGGGCAGCATGGAGCTTGCAGCAGCAGGCAGCTTCTCCACACAGCCCCGCTGTTCCCTGCCGCAGCAGGTTGCACCCACCAGGCTGTGGAGGCCCTGGGTTAGAGAAGCAGGGTGGGAGCTTGAGCCCACAGCCTGCACCCGCCCTTACCCCTATCCCATACATATATCTGGGGGGCATAGGTCCTCCCTGCCCTTCGGGATTATGTGCAGTGCCACGGAGCGAGCCCTGCCTCCCCGCTGTCTGCACAAGCTGCACGTGGCCCTGTCCTGCTCCCTGCTGGGGCCCTGCTGCCGCACATTGCCCACGCTCTGCCTAGCTGGGCAGCAGTCCCAGTCCCAGCCCTGTCCAACTCCCCCCCTGCTGTCCCCTCCCTCCATACAGGGGCTCAATATCCCATCCCCCCCACCCCACCACCACACACACACTTACCTACAGGAGCTGGTCTCCAGGGTGCCTGGGGCCATGTGCATATACATGCACATGGTGCCCCCCTGCCTGACCACCCTCCTCCCACTCCTTCCGAGCTCCCTGCAGGCTGGAACTGTGCCATCCTGTAGGGAGCTCATTGCAAAACTGCAAAATCCATGGGCTTCTCCAGTAATATGAGAAATCCATGTTTGCCTCTGGTAAAAAGTAAAATCCATGGTTTACTCCGTTTTTCCATGAGAAATAGAAAACCCTGTTCCCTGCTGATCACAAGCAGCCAGCATGGATTTATAAAAAAACAACAAACAAACAATAGCTTAAAATTAGATCTTACTCTTGTACATTGTGGGGGATATAGGTTTGTGAGAGGCTGTGGGTATGTGGGATGTGGGGGAGGGAGTGGATGGTGTCTATGGGGGTGGATTGGTGTGGGTGTGGGGTGAAGGAGCATGTGGGGGTGTGTGGATATGTGGGGTGTGGGGGTCTGCATGTAAGGCAGTGAAAGGTGGGGGTGTATGTGTATGGTGGGGTGTATGTGTTTGACTCACCCTATGAACACACACACAGAGCCCCTGCCTACACACACACACACACACACACACACACACACACACACACACACACACACACACACACGCGCACGCGCGCACGC